ATCCAGCACACACACACACACATCATCCAGCGCACTCACACACCCATCATCCAGCGCACTCACACACACACATCATCCAGCGCACTCACACACACATCATCCAGCGCACTCACACACCCATCATCCAGCGCACTCACACACACATCATCCAGCGCACTCACACACACATCATCCAGCACACTCACACACACACACACATCATCCAGCACTCACACACACATCATCCAGCACACACACACATCATCCAGCACACACACCCATCATCCAGCACTCACACACACACACATCATCCAGCACTCACACACACACATCATCCAGCAGTCACACACACATCATCCAGCACACACCCATCATCCAGCACTCACACAAACACCCATCATCCAGCACTCACACACCCATCATCCAGCACACACACACACCCATCATTCAGCACTCACACACACATAATCCAGCACTCACACACCCATAATCCAGCACTCACACACACGTCATCCAGCGCGCACACACACCCATCATCCAGCACTCACACACACATCATCCAGCACACACACACACACTCATCCAGCACACACACACACACACACTCATCCAGCACCCACACACACATCAGCCAGCACCTCACACACACATCATCCAGCACACACACACACATCATCCAGCACCCACACACACATCATCCAGCACACACACACACATCATCCAGCACCCACACACACCATCCAGCACCTCACACACACACACCCATCCAGCACACACACACACATCATCCAGCACACACACACCATCCAGCACTCACACACACATCATCCAGCACACACACACCATCCAGCACACACACACACATCATCCAGCACTCACACACACGTCATCCAGCACTCACACACGCGTCATCCAGCGCGCACACACTGCATTCATTATAAACACTCTTCACTCACTACAAACACACTACATTCACTATACACTCACTACAAACACACTACATTCACTATACACCCCCTGCATTCACTATACACACTCTGCATTTATTATGCACATTCTGCACTCACTACACACTACATTCACTATACACACTCTGCATTCACTACAAACACACTACATACACTGCATTCATTGTACACACTCTGCACTCACTACAAACACACTAAATTCATTATACACAATTTGCACTTACCACAAACACACTACATTCATTATACACACTCTGCACTCACTACAAACACACTACATTCACTATACACTCTCTGCATTCATTATACACACTCTGCACTCACTACAAAAACACTACATTCACTATACACACTGCACTCACTACAAACACACTACATTTATTATAGACACTGCACTCACTACAAATACACTACATTTATTATACACACTGCATTCACTACAAATACACTACATTCATTATACACACTCTGCACTCACTAAAAACACACTGCATTCATTATACACACTCTGCACTCACTACAAATACACTACAATTATTATTCACACTGCACTCATTACAAACACACTACATTTATTATTCATACTCTGCATTCACTACAAACACACTACATTCATTATACACACCCTGCACTGCACTATATGCATAGGAGTGTAATTTTTATTTTATTTTCTTTTTTAATGGGAATCTTGGGTGAGTTCCCACACTTTTTTCCCCAGGACTTGACCCCTGCCCTCAGGGCACTATAGTGCCAGGAAAACGAGTATGTTTTCCTGGCACTATAGTGGTCCTTTAAGTTCAAGTTCCAAGGTTCCACTGTATATCAAAATTTTATAAGACAAAGTAGGGACTACTAGGTTTTATGCTAAATCTCTACCTTGACAAAACCTACCACTGTCAAGTTTTGTCACTTTTCCCAGCTGTCGCAGATTCCTTCATTGACATCAATGTTGCACCTTCATAGATGTGCAAGAGTACAGCACTAATGTGAACTCCTGGCAAATGAAGCTGAAGAACAAAGATAATAATAATAACTAGAATTTATATAGCAACTTTTTTCCCAGTGGGACTCAAATCCTTTTTCAGCTCACACTCTCAGAACTAAACAAACCAGCAGCTGAATAGTAATATATGTTATTATTATCCAGTTGATGGTACTCATTTTATCGACCTCGGAATGATGAAGGGCTGAGTGGACCCTGCTAGAATTTGAACCTGTGACGCTGCATTTTTGAACAGGCTTTGTAGTCATGGAATTTACTAATTGAGTTACCTCACCACATAGATGGCAGCACCCACGGGGTACAGCTTGGGTACAGCTTCAGGTACGTATAGTTTACCTCCACTGCATCCCCAGGCCATTGCACCCCAAAATATGCACATTAATATTTCTTTAATGTATGTTTTTATATTGCAAGCAAAGCAACATTAATATAAGCTGTTTTTTCTTCTGAAACATTTGGACTTAAACTTGGATAAATTGTTTTAAAAAAATGATATGCAAAATTAAATAGAAAGGGACATGATGACTTTTTAATTACTTCCCTTTTCCTAGAGATAACATGGCTTGATAAACTAAAGATGGCAACATACATCCTTTGACAAGTACTGAAAGTGCACTGTTTTGTCTATAATAATTCCTATGTTCTTCTTGTTTAAACAAAAATTAAGAACATTATTAAATACATAACTACGTAGTCAAAGTACTTAAAAATATATACCCAAACCAATGTAAGTGCAAGCTTCCCAAGTGTCCTGCTTTCGGTATTGTATTTGATTGGGTCAACTCAGGGTGCTTGTCTGTGTTCTAAACCTGGAAGGGAAGGAACTGGGGATGGACAAGGGAGGGTGCAATGGAATTAAAAACAAGAATGTTAAAGGACCACTATAGGCACCCAGACCACTTCAGCTTAATGAAGTGGTCTGGGTGCCAGGTCCAGCTAGGATTAATCCTTTCTTCTATAAACATAGCAGTTTCAAAGAAACTGCTATGTTTATAATAGGGTTAATCCAGCCTCTATTGGCTGTCTCATTGACAGCCGCTAGAGGCGCATCCGCACTTCTCACTGTGATTTTCACAGTGAGAAGACGCCAGCATCCATAGGAAAGCATTGAGAATGCTTTCCTATGGACTGGCTGAATGCGCGCGCGGCTCTTGCCGCGCATGCGCATTCAGCCGATGACGACAATAAGGAGGAGGAGAGTCCCCTGCTCGGCGCTGGAAAAATAGGTAAATTTAACCCCTTCCACCCTCTAGAGCCCGGCGGGAGGGGGGCCCTTAGAGTGGGGGCACCCTCACGGCACTATAGTACCAGGAAAACGAGTATGTTTTCCTGGCACTATAGTGGTCCTTTAATGAAGGGAGGTGGGTGGGGAGGGAGCACACATAAAGAGGAAGGTAAGGGGGAATCAGTAAAACTCCCCCTTGCAGGTGCTCTCCAAGTACTGCCTTCAAGATTGAAAGCTCATTTTGTCTGTCACCAACTTGCAGTACAAGTTGACAACAGACTTACTTTTTGCACAGAATTAACATTAGACATCCCAGAACACGGTTCAAAGCTATCTAAGGCAAGTGTGCTGGGTGTGCAACTAGTCCCCAACAAACAGTGCACATACACAAAAATGCTGTATGTGCAGCATTTCAAGCAGAAACATATTCCTACCACCATGACCACTTTAAAAACCAGAAGAGGTCATGGTAGTTGGAGATCTAAAAGGGAAGCACATAGATAAGTTCCTGCTGATCGTTTTCTCACTTGATCTGTGAACCAAATATGCTATCGTTATACTGTAAAATATATACATAATATTTATATTTTGTATATATTTTCCTGTTTCCTAATTGGCCGTTTTTTGCACCATTTTGATTTGTCTGAATCGTGTTTCTCCAAATTATCTTATGGACAAAATTTGTCCAAATTGAATGCCACATGGATGCAACCCGTAACAATTTTTTTTAGGACAAATCCATTTAGATGATCCAAAATTTTCCTCTGTGTAAAAGTCCAATATATGTACAGAATGTTCTACCACAGAGACTGCCGAGATCAGCAACCAGGGACAATGAATTGTTGTTTGGCAACACGTCATCAGTGAATAGAGATCCTGAGGACAGATAATTGCATTTGATTTTGTGAATCAGCTATCTGCTAATTCATTTGCACGTTACCAGCTTTCTGTTCTTTATTTCATACACCACAGCTACATGTGCACAATATATAATATGACAGTGCATTTGAACAGAAAATTACGCTTGTTTTATTGCTTGGTTTTTATTTAATCATTTGTTAAGTAGTGGAATGTGTTGTTAAAATGCCCATAGACATGTTCTGCACAATATTGCATTTGTTCCCCAATTTTATAACATGACAGGAGGCTTCGTATTCGCTTTAGTCTCTCTTTACTAGAACTCCACAGCAGCACAGAAAACAACCAATCAGAAAAAAGTTAGGTACTATAAAACTCTCCTTCCCATACATCATTTCCTCTTTCTTTGCTGCTCTGCATCAGTACAGATCAGAGTACCACTGCCTCCTGCTTCTAGTTGGTGGCTTTGGGATTTAGTATGACTTATTTAGGATCTATATTTATTATTATTTATATATGATATATTACATTTATTATATCTTTATGGTATTTAGCTATATCTATTATATTTCGCTTCATATTATTTATTTATTAGTTATATATTATATATATGTTGTATTTGCTTATATTTATATTATTTGATATCATATTATATTTATTATATATATTTTATGTTTATGGTATTTAGTTATATCCATTATATTTCGCTTCATATTTATTTATTAGTTATATTTTATTTATTTTACTTCGTTATATATTTATTATTTATTTCGGGATTACTGCCCGTTTTTTACACCTTACTTCCCCTGTTCTTGGGGATGTTGTCTTTCATGTGGCGGTTTTAAGGGGGTTCCTAGGGATTCCTGTCATTTTGTTCCCCCCCTTGCCTCCCCCACCCCACTACCTAGCGCCCTTCTATTATCCCCCCCCCCACGGGCTACGGGGGCATGCTTGGGGTGTCAGGAGACTAGCCGCTTGGCTGCCTTCTCTGACTCCCCGAGCTCCAGTATGAGCCTGCCGGCGCCTGGGGTTTCTTACGGTCGGACGCGAGTACCCGGCGGGCAGGTCCACTCACACACGTGGCCGTCTCACCACTGCCGTCTTCTTCATAGCGCCGCGTGCGTCCGACCGGTGAGAGGAGGGTACGCCTGCTCTCGGCCCCTCCTCCAGACACGGTGATCGGACCGCAAGTTTGTTTTCCCTTGCTGGCATTCTGGCTTTGCATCTGCTCAGTGGCTTAAAATATAGTAGCACAATATGTATTTCTGATGAATACAAAGTATCTTGCTTCTGGGGGTTCAATGTGGGTTGTTTCTATAATGCATTTAATGCTTCTGCAATATCCTGTATAATTATTCCATTTTTTTTAACTATTACACGGCTCATACAGATGCCAGTCTGACAGTGAGATCAGGGGTCAGCATGTTTTAGGTTCTGCTAACCAGTTGGTTTTGTCTCAAACCAAGTATGTGATAACCTGCATATTGCACTATTATCTAGTGTTCTTAGGTGCATATCCTTATGCTTCAGTATATATGTTCCTGGTCCATCTCTGGAGTCAGAGATGAGATTACTCTAGGATGATATTCACTGCCCATGACAAATATATAAAACTAATTAGACTGACCTGACTCTGGCTCAAACTGGTATGGGAGACCAGTCTATGCTGACACTGATTTAATCCTATCAGATTCTGTGACTAGTAGAGTGGAAGGTGATCCCTTCCAAGCTCAATAAGAGGGTGCATTAAGTTGGCTATTGTTTTACCCTATTCCTGAATATATACCATTGGTACAATAACCTTCGGGTGGCAGGCAGATGATGCATAGATGGATGAAGAATATCACTGAGGAGAGCTCTGTACCCACTATTGATAGGAAGGTAGGTGGGTGTCCAGACAAGCACTGCTACCATACTATTAAGAGGACACCATTATACGGGTAAATAAATATGATTGGAGGGGTGAAGGCCCTAGACCTCATGCAATTAAGGGCAAAGCTTTTATGAAGTTTCCCGGACACACAACCACGGTTGCAAAACCCAGCGACGGCACATCTCCAAGGGTATTTACACACAAGCAGGGATCAGTGCTCGGACGCCAACAGGGGAGCACATTTTCCTTACCTTTAGCAACTAACCCTTTAGCTGCCTTTCTAGTGTCCATCTTGGGCATTGTTAGTTTAGCACCTGGCCCTTTCAGTTGGGCTTCCTTGACTGGCTTCTCCAACAAGCTATTTACCTTCTCTCCGAGGCACGTATTTACCCTTATCTAATTTATTTGTTTTACTTTGTTTTTGTGCTTTCCTTTCCCCTACCACTAGGGTCGTCAAGAGGCCTGACTTGACTTCCTCCGACCTCCCGAGCTCTCGCTGATTGTGGAGAACGTCTCCAGCTTTCCTCAGACTACCGACGGTCATCCTGGACCCCGCGCGGGTGCACGGGATCTGGGCGGTCCGTTGATAGGTTTCCATCATTGCTTCCTGAGGTGGCATTCCCTCATCATCCCTTTCTGTTATTAAGATGGACACGACTCGAAGTTGTATATTAGTCCATCTACCATTGGTCTGGTTTATTACCAGTTGATCCCACTTCTCAGGTGAGTGATTCGGAGAGAGGTCTCGTGGTCAGAGGGGGACCCTCCTCAGAATCTCAGTACTATGCGGATGATGTTAAATGGTATCTCCACAGTTGGTCACCCTGAGCCTGATATGGACTCTAGTATGGATTACAAGAGGGTACGGCCCTCCATCGCTTCGACCCGAGACTGAGATTTTTATTTACACGAGTAGAGAGCGAACCCTTCTCTTATACTGAACCTCTTATGCTGATTCATTCTAGAGGGCACGACCCTCCCTCTACCTCAGCCCGATACAGAGATGGATACAGAGGACACGTTTGAGTGTGACACACTCTCATAGACGGAGCTGGACATGGTGGTAGACTCAAAATTTTGGTGATTACCGGGCGACCCGCTCGTGCTATCAGCCAGACGCTGACACGGAGTTCGGTTACGTTATTAGAGAGTGCAGCTCTCTCATACACTCAACACACTACGGTACCGTCCATTTGTTCATCACACAGGATTGTGCCTGTACAAGGACAATGATGACTGCATAGAGGGGCGTCTCTCCTGCACTCAATGCAATAGGGAACTCATGCCAAGTTTACCGCTGATGCTTCAACTCGGGAACAGGGGTATAGTACCTCACCGGTATGCGAGGGAGACGATGCGTCATAACACTGGGCAAGGGGAGAGAACCCCTCCATTAAATCTAACGACCGTGCCAACGATTTTGTTATAGAGGACTGCCTGATCATGCAGGGAAATTCTTCTATTTCATCTCCTATATGGATCTACTGGATCCGGGCCACTGGATCCCATGCAAGGAATATTCTCAGAGGTATTATTGGGGGGATTCCCCGCTTATTTGCACACACCTCAGGAGACCTTGTGTTTTGATCTGACCATCTTGGGTTCAGTATCCAGGATTGACCTATTTTGATTGGTGACCCTATACCATTCCTTGGGATGTGCTCCTGGAGACGATACGGCTAATGGATGAACCTCAGTTATTACAGGAGGTTTTGATATAATCTGCACTATATCAAACAATCGCATTCTGTTTAGGTCTACAAGTACACCGTACGCATGGATCGCATCTCTTGCTAACCCACCTATTCAACTAACATCAACGAGACCGGCTTGGACTTTATGGAGGTACCCAGGGTGTCCCCGACCCCTACACGAACGTCGCAAGTCGGGACACAACCTACCGTTGGAGTACTGTTCAGGAGGTGTAGCAGGTTCGGAGTCGGCTGCCGACATTCTCACACTAGACAACACCTGCTTCGGACGGCTGATGATAGACCCTTGTTTTTTCATTAGATTTGCTCTCTGGAGTCTCCTGTCATGAGTGAAGGGACTTTACGTCTTGCCTGCGTATTAGAGAACGCTAGGTGTTCGTGGGACTCCAAGGAGGGAGGTATTCCTCTACAAGTATGCCTTGACTTCGGTTCTCAAATTCATCTAGGGGTCTCACTATACTATGCCCTATCTTGTAGGTGACGTACAGACCGAGAACTCCTACACAGATTTTGACAGGTCAGGCATGGAACAAGATTGTACACGAGTAATCAGATTTTTACACTCTCTCACTATAGCACGTGAGGACTCTTCTTGTACTACAGGTCCCGATTACCATTGGATCCAGACATCTGGTCACTCTTAGATGAGGATATATCTGGATGGTAATCTCAACCCCGGATACGTTCCCCTCCTTTTGGATATTTCTGGGATTCACAATCTCCAAAGTAGTCGCCCACCACTTCACTACACAGGTTCAGTTTGGGACCCTGATTGGACGTCCTTTGAGTGTTCCTCCTCTACCACAGTCGCGGGTTACAGTCCATTTGGAATTCTGGAATCACTTAGGATACGGCTAGTGTGACTGCACTCGTGCCTGCATAATAAAAAATTTTCTCGGATGAGACAAATCACCAGGTAAGCCATAAGGGAACGAACAGACCTTACTCGGTTCTATGATGGAATTGGTGGTAGACTTAGACACATTACTTGAGATTGGAGATTCGCCGGCAAGGCCACATCGCCTGGTGACCCTGGCACGACCGGAGGAGACAACTTCCACATCAAGACCAGGTGTCAGTTTCTTCTTGACTCTAAGTCCGCAAATGACCTTTGGCAGTTTAGACCTACAGGGGAATGGCTAATAGGTCAGCTTGGAAGCTCATGGACCGGCTGCTAGGAAACAGGTCGCAACCCCATATACAAGGGATCTACCATCGGATAGTGTTTTTTCTGTATTTTGGGGTGCCTTGACAATTGGCATCTTCATTGATCCATCTACTGACACTTCTCGCAGTTGGAAGCTCCATTTAGGATTGCTCTTATATCTCACAGAATAGGTACCAGCGAAACAAACAGCGTTGGATTGTTGGCTGAGCGTTAAAACAGCAAATACAAAGCCTCCTGTCATGTTATAAAATTGTAGATTATGCTAGCTTTAGTGTACCTATAATCTTAATTTTATTAATGACAGGAGGCAAGTATTTCCCACTCGTTCTTATCCCGCCCTTGTTTAATTTTATAGTTTGGGTTCATCAGGTATGTATGCAACTCTGGTTGTTGTCTCTGCTTGTTCTTATGTCTGTTTTTCATAAGTAGGGTTGGGATCTATGCAGGTTACGGTAGTTTTCATTACTACATTGAGTACCTTCATGTTGTTCAAAGTACATTTCATTGGATAATCAACCTGTTCGATTCTGTTTTTCTCTAGTTTCAGTTTACAGTCCATCAACGCTATCTGGTGTGGCAGTTCTTCTCGAATGGTGGACATTGTTGTATCTAGGACTTCATTTCTTCCCCATTATTTTTTCTGCCTTTTGTTATGTTTTGTCGCAGCTTGAAAGAGGAAATGATGCATGGGGAGAGGAGTTTTATAGTACCTAACTTTTTTCTGATTGGTTGTTTTCTGTGCTGCTGTGGAGTTCTAGTAAAGAGAGACTAAAGCAAATACTTGCCTCCTGTCATTAATAAAATTAAGATTATACGTACACTAAAGCTAGCATAATCTACAATTCGTAATGGAAACTAAATAACTGTAGCAACCACTTGGACTTGTCTGTTTTTTTTCTTTTTTAATGAAAACAGCACCATTTACTGTATGCATTGTTTCCAGGCACGTAAGAAGTTATCAACAAAGATAAACTCAAATATTTTAATATAAATTCATAGAATCCAGACAGGAGAAGCTGAAGAAGCAATACGACTAGGGTGTGGTTGAGGTATCAGGAATAGAGTTTTGGTAAGTTATTCATGCCAAAATTAAGCATTGAGTTAAATTAGTTTCTTGAGCCAATTATATTTGGTGTATGTTATTTTATTATAATTTTTTAAAATTTATTATGTATTCAGTCTACAATCAGGGCCATCTTTTAACGCGGGGCAAACGCGGCAGTTGCCCCAGGCCAAGTTACTCCTGGGGGGACCGTGGGCTCCGCTGCCCTCAATGTATTTTTCCCCTCCAAGAGCCTGCCAGTGCTGCCGGGGACCCACGCCAACACAACACACAAATACACCCCTGCATCCAAACTTCAACACTACATACAAACACACTCCTGCGTTGAAACATCAACACTACATACAAACACACTTCTGTGTTAAACATCAAAATTATGTATAAACACATCGCTGTATTCAAAAACCAACACTAAACATAAATACATGCTTGCATTCAAACGCAAACACTGCTCAGTGCTAAATACAAACCTGCAAACATGGGTAAATGGTAGATCCCCAGCTGTTAATGCATTGTTGGAGTTGCAGGACAGATGGTGATCTATCTTTTTGTCACCCTTGCAATAGGGGGCCCAAAAAAATTCTTGCACCTCTTTACTTTAGTTCCACCACTGCATTGGGGTGGATGGAGTGATTGCATGCCAGGGAGGAGAGTGTGATTGCATTCAAGGGAGGAGGGGGCAGGATCCAGGGGGCCCCACAAAAATGCTTTGCCCAGGGTCCATTAAATAATAAAGACGGCCCTGTCTACAATGTGAACTAAATAACGCATAAGGCTTTTAAAACTGTGTGTGCCTATCTTTCTCTCTCATATAAAAAGGTGTATTTTCCCTAAATTTTGAGTAGGACTTGTTTGAATGCCCCTTATCTATTTATTGTTTTGTGACAACACAAGAAATAAATATAGGCAATATAACTAAAATCCATAACAAGGATTGCCATTAATAATGCCTCAAAAAGAAGAATTTAAGATTTTTTTTTTTAGGAAGCGCACTTTTTACACGGCAGGGTTAAATCGACTCAAATGGCTGTCGTACTGACAACCGCTAGAGGCACTTCTGTCACGTGATGCAGAAGCACATAGGAATGCACTGAATACAATGCTTTCGTATGGGGAAGCACATGCACATCAGGTCCAAAATGCTCCTCAATGAGGACCAATAAATTGGACCATCACTGGAGGAGATCATACAGTTGTGCTCAAAAGTTTGCATACCCTTGTAGAATAGGTAATATATGTACCATTTTCCAAGAAAATATGAGTGAGCAGGCAAAACACATTTTTTTTTGTTTCTTATGGGATTCATATTCAACTGTAGGTTGTAACAGAATGGCACAATCAAATAAAACACAATATGGCAACAAAAATAAATAAATAAATGACCCCTGTTCAAAAGGCTGCATACCCTTGGTTCTTAATACTTTGTATTGCCCCCTTTAGCATCAATGACAGCATGCAGTCTTTTGTAATAGTTGTCCATGAGGCCCCTAATTTTTTCAGGTGGTATAGCTACCCATTCGTCTTGGCAAAATGCCTCCATTTCATGTAAAGTCTTTTGTTGTCTTGCATAAACTGCATGTTTGAGATCTCCCCAGAGTGGCTCGATGATATTAAGCTCAGGAAACTGTGATGGCCACTCCAGAACCTACACCTTTTACTGCTGCAATCACTAGAGGGTCAACTTGGCCATGTGCTTTGGGTCATGCTGGAAAGCCTAAGAGCATCCCATGCGCAGCCTTTGTGCAGAAGAATGCAAATTGTCTGCCAGTATTTTCTGATAACATGCTGCATTTATCTTGCCATCAATTTTCACAAGATTCCTTGTGCCTTTAGAGCCCACACCCCCCCAAAAACATCAGGGAGCCACCACCATGCTTCACAGTGGGGATGGTATTCTTTTCACTAAAGGCCTTGTTGACCCCTCTCTTAACATAGCGCTCATGGTTGTGACCATAAAGCTCTATTTTGGTCTCGTTACTGCAAATTACAGTGTGCCAGAAGCTGTGAGGCGTGTCAAGGTGTTGTCGGGCATATTGTAACTTTTTTTTGTTTGGCATTAGCGCAGTAAAGGCTTCTTTTGATCAGACCCACTTGGGTGATTTCTGTTATCATTATGATTTAAAAAGGATGTGATAATAAATGGCTTCATGTGATCACTATCCTTCAATAAAATACTTTTTTGCAAAATCAGTCATATTTTCAAAATCAATGCCAAAATTTTGCAATTTCTGCCAGGGTATGCAAACTTTTGAGCACAATTGTACCTCCTTTATGAGGCTGAGGGAGTCTGAGAGGTGAGCAACGCAGAGTAAGCCTCACCGCTGAATAAAAATAAGTAAAACCTAAATATACATTTAGGGACCCTCAGAAATACAGGTGTGTATTCTTAATGCTAGTGCTCCCTTAAAATGACGAAGAATATGTGTTCTGGAAACTTTAGTGAATGGAATGACATGCTGAGAGACTTTGGATAACATTAGGGATCCTTAAATAAAACCTTGAATATTTCCAATACTATTACATAATTAGAAAAATGAAAACTCAGTTGATATTGTATTTCTGTAAGTAGATTTAATGAGCCAAAATATGAAAGGTGGCATCTACCACACATCATTTTCAAAGATTAGATGCATTGCTCGTTCCAATATCTGTAGTTTGCAAGATGTTTATTGAAAATTTGAAAAAACAATTTGGCAAACATGGAAATAGTTTTTGCTATAATATTCTAAATTCTGCAAATAGGTGGATGTGCTCCTTTATTCTATAGAAGTGAGCATACACTCTCTAATACATCCCCTATACACATTTTCCTATATTAGTGACTACAGCCCTTTGCTCCCTTTGGTACCATAACCACTGCCAGGCACTATATATCCCTACCATAATTTTTTGGACAAACGCCAACCTCTTTGGCATTTCTACCTTTTATGCTTTATGGAAAGGGCTCCCTTATAGATACACTTATAGAATACTATATAACTTAGAGATACCTATCCCAGATTTTCTCTATGAGTGTTTAAATCTTACTCTACTCACACATCGGGTCGGTGTATTTACTCTTGGTAATTTTTTACCATTTTTAAGTATTGATTTAATTTTTTCATTTTCCTAATAAAGGTTGATACCCCTCTCCCCCTTCTTTATGTCACATTTACATTAGGAGGTATATATTTGTGAATGAGTATGGACTCCACTTACTATATGTAAGTGGCCCTCCATCTCTTTCATTTTGTTTGTTCAGTTTTACTTTAAAGTGGCACTATCACCCCCTCCTACCTACAAAAAAAAAAAAAAGAGTATTTCATACTCATAAAATCTTTATGAAATACTCATATTGACTGTGTAGGAATTTCATGAAATTTCAACCCAGTCAAGAGATATACAGAGACAAGGAATGGACTACTTTGTCTCAGTATTTTTTCTATGCATGACACTTATAGACGTTGGTGGAGGTACCGCTGTCTAGAAGTGTCATTCCCTCAGCCATCACCAGTGGCAGCTGCAGGGAATTGGCTCTATCTATCTATTGCGCGCAGTGATTTGTGCTCCAGGCACCTAAGCACCAGTAACAGAAGAGGACTGGCCAGAAGAAAATGGTGACACCCGCAAAGGACAGTTTCAGGTAAGTTAAACTCACCTTTGTCTGGCGTCCCAGCCACAGGACCCCCAATTGCAATCTCACTGTTGAGGGTTGTAACGGACCGTTTCTCTCAAACGGGGATAAATCCGTTTAGGCGATAATCCCCTTTCCCATAGACCAGCAGCTATTGCAATCACCAACTTCCCGAACTCCAAACTGTACGAATCCCCAACTCACGAACAAGAAATACACGAACTCTGGAAGCAGCCGAACAGGAAAAGCAATACGAACGGCTTACACTCCTGGCAGTCAGCACACAATCCAATTCCCCCAATAACGAGACGACACTTCGTTTTGAGGGTTAAGCAGAATCTCCAGATTTATTCACACAGCCTCCTTTTAAGACATTCTCCCATGCAAGGGAGGGATCCACAACAATTAGTACCCCAGCCAATAATGTACCAGTTACCTCCCACACATCTCCTCCCCTTAGTGTGACACATAATCCCATTAGTACAGACACAAATTCCCTGGGATACTGGATGTACCCCTAAACATAGGAATACCCCTTTAAATGTTACATCCCCTGGTAACCCTGATCTGGGTGAGACACATATCCAAAAATCACCCAGATCGGACCAGGGGTTCAGGAATTAGAAAGGGTTAAAGTTTTGACCGACTGCATGGCAAAAGTATCCGAAAATAGTTCCATGTATTTTGGCCCTGCAGTCGGTCACAGAAAAGGGAATCAAACACACGAATGGCCTGTGTTACAGAGCTTGGGGAGGATTCGTATGAATCCCCCTGTTCGTGGGATCCTTTCTACCGAACGGCGGGCCGTTCGGTAGTTTCTGCACGAATTGCTGGAAGTCTGGAGGTCTCAGCGGTGTTTGCTTAGTCGAGTGTCCGATTTTAGTTCCAGACACTCGACGGCAAAACACCGCTGTTCGGGAGTTTAAGATGGCCGCCGCCACGTGTTCGTTTCCCGAATGGCGGCCACCCAGAGGACACAACACACATTACACATATTGCCAATTACCCGTTTGCAACATTGTTGCAAACGGTAATTGGAGGCACACTTACTCCCGGGTGGTCTGGTTGTTCGGTAGTTTCACCCAATATAATGAATGAAGTGATTCTACCGAACAATCAGGGGAATGCTGCATTCACCTAACACTTTATACCGAACATATAATATTAAATACAGCCTGAATGCAATTTGCTACACAGTCTTAAAAAGGCATTATTCCTAACAGGCAGAATATGTTCACGGATGGCCCTTAAAGGGCCAGTAGCAGCAATATAAGAATGTCACATGCCCAAATATTGCATACAAAAGTACGAATTCACAAGGGGGCCATAGTCAGATGGCAGGAGGCTGGCAACCAGGCTTCTCCAGTGCATAGTGGCGAGGTTGGTTTCGCCACAAGGGTATTTATGAATATTTTAATAGATTAAATTAGAGGGACAAAGGTTTAAAAATAATATCAGGAAGTATTACTTTACTGAGAGGGTAGTGGATGCATGGAATAGCCTTCCAGCTGAAGTGGTAGAGGTTAACACAGTAAAGGAGTTTAAGCATGCGTGGGATAGGCATAAGGCTATCCTAACTATAAGATAAGGCTAGGGACTAATGAAAGTATTTAGAAAATTGGGCAGGCTAGATGGGCCGAATGGTTCTTATCTGCCGTCACATTCTATGTTTCTAGATGTTAATACAGAAATGGTTGGTAATCAATGTTTTAAATGATATTGAGTAAGTGAACAAGTACATCGTGGCACAGTCTTGCAAAATCCCTTCAATTCATATCTAATTTACAGTTGAAGTTTGCGTTAAATAAATATTTACATTTAAGTTTTTCCCCTTTTCAGTGAAATCTAAGATAATATGCTTTGATAATTTGTTCTGCACGAGGGTAGGTATTTATTTAAATCTAAAATTCATTGTCAAATCTTTATAGATGTATTGGTAAACAGTCTAATAAGTATAACTTTATGTCACATATACAAAGTGATCAGGATTTAAATCTTGGTCTGTTGCTTGGTATCTGGACTGTGAATAAATACTAATCATGTTGTGTCTGTTAGTTCCACATCACTACACACAATTGGTCTTTCCTTGTTGTTTCTCACTTCAGCTTCCAACACAGAGGCATTGATAAGTCTGGTATGGCTCACATCATTTATTGAATGTAGATCATCTAGCTGTTTGGGTTTCCGCTGTATTATCAGTCTTGGATTGTTTAAAAGTGTGTAGCAGAGAAACCACCTTGTTCTGGCTTTATTTGATGAATGTGACTCTAGAACAAAAAGATGCAAAAGAAATATTTTATTTTAGTTATAAAATATTTTACCAGGAAGGATACATTGAGATTTCTCTTGTTTGTAAGTATGTCCTTGGTCCACAAAATATTGCATTGTTACAATAGGGCACAATATTTAAAAATAAATAAATATATAATACAATATACAAACAATATATATATACATACAAACAAACATATATAAATGTTACACATAATAGGTAATAAATATAGTCAACCATGACAGGTGCGTTCTGTATTGAGGCACATTGCCATAGATCTCTGAAATATTTTTAGATTGAATGAAGATTTGACTGTGTCCATGAGGTAATTCCATAATTGCGGGGCGGTTTTGTATAGCAGTATGCTAAATATCGCGCTAATACTGGATCGGAGGTTATAGGAGGTGAATACAGCTGGGGAGAGCATTCTACTCAGGTAGGGTGGGAGCTTCCCAGAAAAGCTCTTAAACACAAGGCTGGAAAGATGAAGAGTGCATCAGGATTCTGGCCACAGACAGTTTAGCTCTTTTAACATGTCATAAAGGTGGGTGAAGTAATAACATTCTAGTACAAAGCGGCAGAACAAATTATGTAACATATTACGTTTATGATTGCATACACCCCATAATCAATGACCGGCATTAGCATTTGTTTCACTATCCGTTTCCTTACTGTAGGGCTTAGGCAGGATTTGTTTCTGTATAGGGCACCTAGTTTTGGATAAAGTTAAATAGCTAGCCAGCATAATTATATCTATATCTATGTAGATAAATTAATTGATAGATGGATAGATAGATAGATAGATAGATGGATAGAGCTAAATAAACATAATACAACTTCATATACATTTTTGCAAATTTAGAAATTATTGTTGTGCATCATCTGCATATCTGAAATAGGTCATTTCCTGCCTGTCATATGAAACCACTGTGTCCAAGGTTTACCTTATCTATACATAAATGTGGCATTAGTACAATTTTCTTTTTAGTAATTGTATATTTGAGTTGCTAGTTCTCTAATAAATACCTGTTGAGCTGGTAAATGTGTAGTAAGCAATTGATTCTCTCAGTCCTTTCTCAGCTTTCCTTTCTAGGAGAACATTGCAAAAACTCATTAGAACAGGGTTAGTGTGATAGTGATCCACATAGATCATCCCAATCCATGTATTGTAACCTTAAATGAAATGAAATGAAAAAGGAAATACAACATATGTTACTTCTTCATGCAGTTTAATTTGAGTTAAACCTAGGTTTTTCGCAGAGCAATTATCTTACTGTTGTGAAATGCTTAATAATGTAAAACACAGGTTCTTCACAAGAGTTAAATAAGCAGATTCCTTTATTGCTTGTACACAAGGAGAGTGTCAAAGAAGACTGCCTTCCTCTATATGAAAAACACATAACTTATATACAGTTAAACAACACAGCTTACATGCCAGGAACAGCATAGTGACAAAAGATCAGTATCTTGATGTATGCAAATGTATGCTTCTAAACCTACTCATCCTGCTATGGTCAGTTCAGTCTATTTTTGAATCACTCACTACTGACCAGTGGTGTACATACAGGGGTCACAGGGGACGCAGCTGCGACCGAGCCCGTCACTCCAGGGGTCACGGCCGCATTGCGGACCGCTGCGACCTGGTGCCGGCCGCCATGTGTTGCGGCCCAGCCCACGCGGTGTAACCACTGGGGGGAGGGTGCCCACGGATCAGTTTTCGCACCGGGGCCCCATGGATTGTGTGTACGCCACTGCTACTGACCATTAAGGATCATTTACCTGTTTCCATTTATGATCTTTGAATAGAAAAAACAGTTTCTAATAAAACTACTTGGAGCAAAAATCACAAAACACAAATCCACATTTAACTCTTCATGAACACAAAGTCACACAGAGGGGAAACATGGCTGATATAAGAATAAGATGGCGGCTGAGGAGCTAAGGCACTTTCTCAAAATTCACACTGTCTCCAATTTTATTATATTCAAAGTGCTTTTTGGCAACTAACAGTGACTGTTGCAGTAATAATGACGTAATCACATCTGAAGATATACAGTATGTCATCGCCGTGCCAGTGTCCTTTATTTTTCCTGAAAGGCAAATACCGTACAATTGATATTAACTAATGTCAAATTTGCGCTGGTAGCCCTGTGTGGTTTAGATTAATTGAGTATTATATACATTTTTCCTAATGTTTGTAGGCAATACTATATCTTGCTTTAATGCCAAATTATGCTGATATCTGTCATCCTGAAATTAGCTAGTGTTCTGTTGATCATCACAAACATTTTGGTTTGCCTACTGATTATCTATAGTCCATAGTTTGACCATTCTTGGTTGGGTTGGATGAAGGATTCATATACCAACCTGGTATAGCGACACACCCACCTAACAAACAACACCATTTTCCTATTCTCCATGCCTTTGTACTAGAGGGTAAATAATAACTATGGGAAAAAGAGTCCCAAAGACCTCTGGTTCATTTATGAAAGGTAACGTTATGACCCATAACCTCTGTCTCCTCCTTACTCATCACCTCAGTAATTGTATAATATATAGAAGGCAAATGTATTTATTAAGAGCATTTTATCATAGACTATGTCCCACGTATATCTGAACACTTTGTCTATACCTATACGTAAGGGCTGCTGCTGTATGGTGAAACACTAGATTCACATGTGCTTCCTTGATGCAGTGACATAGCCGGGAATTGGAGTATAATGGGTATGATCTGGTTCTGGTTTTGTGTAATTACTTTATTTGTTGGATTATTTTTATTTAGTGGAACACTTGACACTAGCACCTTGAGGTTCATTGGAGTGTTGTGGCTAGTCCAACCCAACACATCTATATAGCTTGTATAATGTGCTATGAGATCCTCACAACTCCTTAACTTTTGTGCATTTTAGCAATAAGTATTGCACATCAGCAGAAATCATTCATTTTCTTTAGCAATATGCAATGCAGTGAATTGAGTTTGGAACCAGCAATGA